CCTTGTTGTGTTCAGTTGAGGCTGTTCGAGGACAACCACTCCGAGCTCATCTTCGATGCTGGAGTTCCCATCTTTAAAATGTTTCACCCATCTTAGAACACTGCTTGCACCATGCACACACTTCCATAAGCACGCTGAAGTCTCTGGTGAATTTCTGCGGCAGGGATTTCTTTCCAAAAGAAATTTGATGACAGCACGCTGGCAAAACGACATATTGTCAGCTATTTTGTTAGGAGTGATACTGGTCACGTGATGCAAGCTACTGACATCACAAGACACTCAAGGTTAACACAACACCTAGTTCCACCTACCACCGTACTCTCTTTCGTCTGCTGTTCCCAGGCTGCATGCAAAAAAAAGTTGCTCATGACTTTCGGTACGACCTACATATAAACTTTGCTGTACAATTTCAGGTAAAGTAAGAATATTTATTGCTCATCTCATCTTCAGTTTCCCAAAACTGGGTTTTCCACCCAAATGCAATACACATTTCTTGTTCCTCCAACCAATCTACGTGCCATCAATTACAGTCTACTTAACTGACTACACTAAAACCAAACTCCATGGCTTGAGTCTGCAAGTGAACTATACTGACCGAGCAACTGCTGCTTGTTGGCGAAGTTAGTGCCAACTTTAGTGGATAGAGGGTGCCACGGGGTCAGTAAAATGAATCCCCATGGCTGTTAATTTCGGTTTTCTAGATACACTAAATCCTATAAATCATACGGTTCCTCACTGTGCAATATCCTCCATTACCTTCTTTATCTCTCTTAGATACAAACACTTTCTGTACCCTCTTAAAATACTTGCAATTTAGGTTACACTGTTGTGCAAAATTACTAATACACATTCAAAGTCTGAACTACAATCAATAAGTCAAGGGACAAAATATAAGTATGCTAACTCACAATGGTTCAAGTATCTAGTGGTGCTATTTTTAACATTTACCTTACTGCCATGTGACTGTGGAGGTGGTAACCTTACAAGATCTACGGAGGAGGGGGAAGCCACTACAAACACTGGGTCTCCATCCACACTCCCACCACCACCCACAACAAACGGAGTGGAGCCAAACAAGTCATAGCCACTGTTGGATGCAAGAGTGGGAGAGGACATAGGAGCTCCAAGTCTAGGGGACTGTGAGGGGGGTGACCACCAGTTATCACCAGAATGCTTGAAGCTCTCTAAACTGCAGACAGGTTTCAACTGCAATAGCAAAGCCACATGATCGTATTCACCAAACAAAATAAGTGTGTAACTTATTATTTTCCACAGGTAAGAAGTACGACACTCATAACATTGCTATCTGCAATAACAAATAATTGGGAATTGTATTGTCTTGGTTGGTGTCTGTTCTTACTGATTTTCTGATATTAAATTCCAACTGCCCTGACGAGGACATCTCCCCACATGCAAATGCAATTATGTTAAAGTGTAAGTGACACAAGACGTTTCTGTTCTCACCATTTCAGTGCACTGCAATAGTGTCACATCTTATTGTTTAGTCAAAGAAAATAAGTGATTCAAAAAACGCAAAAACACATGGTACAAAAAAGGGGTAAGAAATTTATATACAATGTGTGACAACAACACAGTAGATAAATACAACAAAGACGAAAAGTTAGATAAACCTCTGTCCAATTTGTAAGGTCACTTGGCAACACTTGTTAGTGTGGCTTTGTACTGCATGATCTGACCAGAACCAGCCCACCCCACACTCCCCACCCTATGGTACAGCATTCTTCTGATTGGTTTTCCACCAAAGCTTCATGGGAAAAGAAACAGACTACAGATATGAAGAAAGCAGTCTTCTGGGATTTGGCGCCGTGTATATGTGGTGTTAACCGACGTTTCGGAGGAACGTATCGCCCCCATCTTCAGGGTTGAAGAAAAAGTATAGGTAAATCTGCAAGCGACAACACCGTGAGACACGGTAAAGCAGTCAGTCTGCTTTACCGTGTCTCACGGTGTTGTCGCTTGCAGATTTACCTATACTTTTTCTTCAACCCTGAAGATGGGGGCGATACGTTCCTCCGAAACGTCGGTTAACACCACATATACACGGCGCCAAATCCCAGAAGACTGCTTTCTTCATAGTCACCGCCGTGAAAGCCTCAAATCTTACACAGACTACAGATATGTTTAAAACAAATCAAGATAATGACCCAGTAGCTTCTGTTGTGTGGGTACTGACCATTTTGCTGAAAATTTACCTCAACAAAAATCTGTTATCTTCCATACATGTCTCATCATAATAAAGTACAATACCTATTAAGTGAACACCACTACAGTTGTTTCCACCTCATGAATTCCCACTGTCACTATAAGGGAAAAGAAGGGAGTGGATGTCAAACTCTTCTAGCACCACAAGCAGTCTGACCCACGTGCATCCCCACTAATAACCCAGCATCTTGAATAAATTTCAACAGCTTACTGACAGGAATCTTATGACAGATATTACTGTTCGACAAATGGGCTGGAAAATATCAGCAAAGAGCCAGACTCTACACAGATCCATCAGCAGAAAGAATACAAGTGAAATTCAACAGAAAACTTTTCATGTTCTCAAACAAGCTCCCACCTTGTCAGTTACAAAAATAAAATGCTTCCTAAAAAATTCCTCTGCCATCTTCCCATCGGTTTTCACATAACCATCACGATCACGAACAAAAGCAACAGGTCTGTAGTAATGACTGAACAAACAATAACCTTTTCACTGCCACATTTTGAAAGCACTGACAAATCCTATAAGACAGATATTATATACAGAAAATACTGATTACAGGTGTTATATAAATACACCTTAAGTGGAATTTTCTCAATTTTAGTGCAAAAACATGAACTTACGTTCTTCGAAACTGAAGTCTGAAATTAAATATTTACAAACTCATAATGTGAGAGAATTTGGATTTCTCTGAGAGAGAGTGTGAACTAAACAGATATTCATATGGACTGGTGTGGAAGATGTCCTTTCTCAGGCAAAGTGTATGGTCAGGTTTCACAAGAAAACGTTAAGTGAGATTTTGGTCTTTAAGCCACTGAATTCACTGGCAGGAAATTACTTTTATAATAATGATAAATACTAGAAATGTGAGTAAGATAGAGTTCTGACTGCTTATTTCTGAGAAAAAATACTGTATAATCAAAACTCAAATGTACCAAAGAGGAACAGATAGTAGGACATGATGTCCTAACATTAATCAAGTGCATACATACTAATCAAAGCAATGTCAGGAACTGTTCATTTACTTAAATGCTCATAAACTGGCTAATGGTCCAACGTACCATGCATTACAAATATCTGAAATACCATTAACAAGAAGCAGAACATTTTAGATCAAATCAATTTCTATTATTGTCTGAATGCACTTTTTTTTTCTTTATAACTCACCGTTCTATCAATTGGCGGAGATTTGGTTTCTTCTGTGTCCAGTATTGAAGAACACTTCCTGAAAATGACATCTTGAAGGTCTCCCATCAAGTCCATGTCAAGGGGAGACAGTTGCAGCCCTGGAGTGTCAGTACATGACTTACCTAACACGTCAGGTGAACCTGGATCTGAGGAGGGACTCAAAGGACTGTAGGGTCTGGATCTGCAGAATATAAAACAGATTTCAGTATATCTACAGATTAATACAACAATCGCTGAAAAGAGTAAGTGATAACAGAGCATATTACCAAATTTTACAGTGCAGTCCTCAGTAACTTTACTTCAAATTAGGGAGAGAGATCCATGTTTTAAATCGCAACCTGGATACCAAATATTGTGAGCATATTCATACTTTCCTCAATCCCTTCATAAAATAAATAAAAAAAAAAACCCACACACACACACACACAATACTATAGTATATGCTAGGACAGCTTGTTTTACACTCTTTCAAATTCATCGCTCATAATAACCTTGTCAGTAAAGCATTGCTCATGACACCAAGAACTAAAAAAACACCAGCAAAAATTATGAAGCTGGTTGGCATAGCAGTAATGCTCTAGACTCCTGTTTGAGTGATGCTCAGTTAAGATCTCAACCCGGAGATTGGTCATCCTGACTGAGGCTTTTAGCAGTTTTCCTCAGTTCCTTCAGGAAAATGCCAGAATACTTCAGTATGGCCATCACTGATCTCTTCCAAATCCTTTCCAATTCATGTGTTATCCTACCCTTCAATTCCTATAATTTAGTTAACAATAGCACTGCAAAATAACACCCCCCGCCCCGCCCAAGACCAGTACAATAAAATGACAGGCTGCTGGAGTCCGTAACACAGTCAGTGATAGATACACATTGCCACTCAAATACATGCACTCATCCTGTCCCAATTATGGCCACAACATCTTAGTTTAGTCAGTGAAGTCATTTTCTTCTCTCCAAATGATGTCATCAAATTATAACAAAACATCACACATCATGGTACATATTTTGAGGAATTGAAACACATACAGGTATCTCTCACTTTCCAAATACTTGATTTATGCATTCTTACTACAGTGAATTTGCACCTTCTTTGTGTGCTACAACAAACATCTCACGTTCGTAAGTTTGTCAACTTTTACATGTAAAATAACAGGAATTTTATTTTTGATTTACAAATATTCACCTCAAGAACGGTTTTCATGGAAAAAAATTATCTTCATGAATCGTGGGATCCCTGTAACAATTTTAGACATACACTGAATAGAACTTTTAATTTTTCCAACCAAAAGCTTACTATTAGTCTGTATAGCCCTGGCTGCCTGACCCAATTACTGGCAGTAATTAAATATGAGACACAGCTTACCTGTTGGTAGTGACTGTGTTTTTTCTCTGCAGCAAAGGATCCTTGCGAAAAGAAGCTGCTGCAGTGGCTTTAGGACCAGCAAATGTTTGTGGTCTTCTCCTGTTTATTGGAGATGTGGGTGCCGATCGAGGTTTGTCTCCTTTGCTACTTTCATTCAATCCATCTTCCCTGGAGCCGAGCCCTTCACGAGGCTGCATGTCACGTAATTTTGAGCGAATACCTTTGTATGCAGTTCGGACATCTTTACCACGTTCCTTGACCTGAACAATCAAAGGAAAACCTTGTCACAGGTGTTATTTAACAGACTTTCCTCCTAGACTACAGAAGATGAGATCAGAGGTTCTTATGGAAATGACTATGAAGATTATAATTTTTTGAACTGTGATGCCATCCAGTCTGGTAGATCATACCACAGACCATTACCAATATATTGTAGGTATACTGGTAATAACCTATCAAACTGCATAATGCTACAACCCAGAAGATAGTAATCTTTGCGAAGAAAATGATCAAGGAGTTCTAAACTAATTGATTTATTGAATTATTTTATGGCTTGTAACAAATACAGAGACCCTGTAGTAATGAATGAGATATAGTGGGCTGTGGCCTACTTTAAGGCACTACACAAGAATTTTCATTGAAGGAAACAAAAAATATTATATTTTTTCAGTCCAACTTCATGTTTCACGATCATTTTGTTCCTTAAGATCACTGTCTGATATTTCGGGTAAATCACAGACCTCCAAAATCCGTCAATGGTATGGTTAGAATTTTCATAAAACCGAAATGTAAGATATTTTCCACTATAGCATTTACCTAATGAAAAAAAATAATTACTGCTGTTATTTGCAACAAACAGAAGTAGTATTTAAGATCTAAAAGTTTGTGACAATGGTACATTGCTACAGGTATTATGTTTTTGGACATTATCCATCATCTTGTCTATTCCTATAAAAAAAAAATCCTGTTTCTTTTTTAAAAACACCACATTTCGGGGACTCGGTTCTGTCCCCGTCCTCAGGTAAAACCTACTCGGTTGGGTTCAATAGATAGAGCTAGCCCCTATCTCAGGAGATAGGGGCTAGCTCTATCTATTGGACGGTTTTTAAAAAATAGACAAGACAATGGATAACGTCCAAAAACATAATACTTGGTAGAAGTAGTATTGAATAGATTGCTCACATTTCCATAGAGAATCATCTTCGAATGTGGCGAACTAGATGACTGTGAAGGAGAATGGATGATATTAAAGTGAATTCTGTGTAAACAGGCTGAGGGGATACTGGACCAAATTGGATTGGATTATTCTGACAGCAGGCTTTGGTATTAGTAGTGCTGAGCTTTAAGGTTCTATCACAAGAATTACATTGTTAGTTGGTTAATTTGTTTGGTTGGTCAGTCAGTCAGTTAGTTAGCTGCCATTTACATGGTAGAGTCAACTAATTCAAGAAAATTCCAACAGTCAGAAAACGATGCAGTACATAAGAAACTTATGTGTTACAATCTAAGAGGTCATCCAAGAAGATGCAAATAACTGATTAAGCTTGCCAAAACTAGTGATGTGTCATATGGCATACACCATGCCATTTTGCTTGTCAACCTCAACATGCATCACATCTGTGCATCTTATTCCACAAAATGACAGAATTCAGAGAGATCCAGAAATTCTGAAAAGGATTATGATAGGTGACAAAATGTGGTGCTACTTTTTAAAACTAAACATTTAGCCTCACAATGGCCACACTTATGGTCGTCACATGAGAAATGGCCTGAAAAGAGGGATTCCAGCATTGATACAGACATTGGCAGAAAGAACTATTCTGGGGTTGAAGACATATAAGCTCACACAGACACAACTTCACAAACATAACGACTCTACCATGTAAATATCTATATCATTTTTCCTTATGAATTCAGAAGTTACTATCAATTAAGTGGAAAAGTCTAAAATAGTTCTGAGTGCATCTAAACCAATGTTTATTATATTCTTGGGAAATACGTTGACATTTTAAGTCAGTTTGTGGTATTGGAACAGAATAGACTGCATAACATTTTATCAGTTGCAGAAAAGTATTACACTTAGAAATGCCTGCCAAGAAAATAACCAATACAAGCAATCACACTTACAGATTTTACTGCTGACTTCATTGCAGGATTTGCCTGAAATTACAATTACATAAAATAAAAAGCATATCTAGACAGAAAGCAACGACAATAACGAAACAGCACACAACAAACAAAACAGATTGCTCTACAGAACCACAAAGATCATGGTAATTAAGTTCACTCAAATCCAAGGGTTCAAGTTCCCCCTTAACTTCTCAACCAACATGGATTTATATTGAGCTTTCCAGAATAGTGTTTCCAAGATTGCCAGTCATCCTAGCTTGTCTCAAAATTTCAACTTCAGTTTACCACTAATCAGTTCTCAACACCCAAGATTCAACACCACTAATATCAGAGCCAGCAATGGATGTAATCCTTAGCAAGTTCAGTTCATTTCACCTCCTGAATAACAAACTCCTACGGTCCATTACATTTTCTTCAAACCCTGTCCTTAGTCTTCTAAGAGGAATATCTCCATAACCAGTACAAATTATTAAATTCGTTAAGTAACATCTTTCATCCCTCACCTATATTTCAGCCCTTGTGGGACCAAATATTTCCCTGATCAGGATACTGACAGATGTCTTACTTTATCTTCTACATATTGGTAAGTTAAATTCACTTTCTCTGTTGGGCAAAAGCAGAAAAACTACACCATAGATGTACTAGTACCATGATTTTCAAAATCTAATAGAACTCGTGTGTGCACGTGTGAATGTGTTGTTTCTTCTTGTAACACAGTATTTCCTCAAATTAAACACTACTACCAGATTTGTTAAATTAAAAACTGATGTATTAAAAATCTGTAATAATGAAATGAATGTGTATTACTTTATCAGATAATCACATGCTTTTTGTCTTTCAGACAGAAACTCTGTTGTTTTGGTACTCATTTCTTTAGATCATTTTACAAGACTACTCAGAAATATTTGTGCTGTCTGGAATAGCAAAAACAATTAGCACACAGAACATTCAATATCCCTCTCTGCAATAAACTGGTTTAGCCAACTGAACACAAAAAAAAAAGTTACCTTCTTTAAGTTTTATGAAACTGCAGACCCTACAAGAGCATAAAGAGGAAACTCACACAAAACATATATTCCATTCATTCAAGTAAACAGCAAAACAAACAGTGTGGGTGAAAGTCGTTTTCAAGATTGCAAATGAACATAGATAGTGAACAGAAATGTGACCTATGCTGCTTTACCTTGTTTTTCATAGTTTTGAAGAATGCACTCCCTTCTTTCCGCATGGTATATGCCCACTCTTTGTACTGCTGCTTCAGTTTTGAGCTTGACTTGTCTGAATAGTTACAAGCTTCCATTTCAAACTCATCAGAAAATCCAAGTCCATTATTCAACATTTCAAGTCTGTCTTCAATAAACTGTAAAATGGTTAATCATCATACATTATTTATCAAAATAGATACAAATTCTCAACAGAAATATATCCACAGCAGTGTTTCTTAACTGTGGTTTGCAGGAAAAAGATGTGTCACTACAATCTTTCTATGTGATTTTATTATTTCAAGGCAAATTCACAAAAGTAAATGAACTGCAAAGTTAAAACAGTAAATATATAAATATTGGTTAGCAGTCAGTAGTGACAGGCTACAGGCTTGATGATCAGAGTTCAATTCCCAGCAAGGGCAAAAGAGACTTTTCCCTACTCCACAGTATCCAGCCTGACTATGAAACCCACTCAGCCTCCTATCAACTAGGGACTAGGGGCTATTTCCCTTGTGGTAAGGTGGCTGGGGCATGAAGCTCACCATTCACCTCCATTCAGTGCTGAGGTCAAGAATAGTGGAGCTATACCTCCACTCCTGTTTCTTCATGGCACAGTGCTGAATTACTTAAGCACAGGGGCAACTTTACCTTTATGGAAATGAAAGTCACTAAGATGAGGACCAGAAAAGTTTTAGAAAGTTCACTTTTTCAGAAAAACTGAAGAGATCAGAGGATACTCTAAGCTTTCACTAACGAGCTCACCTGCTGGAAGATCTGAAGCTGCAGCATTTTACGCAGAAAAGGCTGCATACTAGAAGGACGAGACTCAATGAAAGCATCAGGGCTGAATGTGATTTTTTGTCCCTGATGAAATTTCAGAGCATCTCGGTATCCTCCAATCAGTTGGACCAGAGCTCTAAGAAATGCTCGAGATACTCCATCTCCCAAGAGAGCAGCACGATTTCGAAGCTGACGTCTCAAGGAAGTTACCTAGTAGCAATTTTACCAAAATAAGGAAATTAGGGATACAGAAACAAGAAGTTCTGGAAAGAATTTACATCTATTTTCCTGCAAATTCTTCAATCTAAATGGTCAGGTTAGCAAGCACTCTTACTGAACAATTATATTATACAGTCATCCACACCTGACCACGTTTCCACTAACACAAATTTTGACTATATTATATCTGACAGATATATCATCAGTTTGGCCCATCTCCATGCTTATACTTGTGAGCATGTAAACAATATTTCATAGTGAACACATAGTAAAAAAGTTTATGTTTATCTCTATATAAATTTCACATTTTAGCTCTAATGGTCAAATCTAAAATTAAATTTATATTTTAAGCACCAACCATGTTGTTTTACAGCATTCAAAATGATTACCTGAAAAATAGCTACATATTTTATGCAGACCTATTAACTAATCGATTCCATGGAGCTCAGCTCTTCTTGACAAGCCACCAGCCATGCAGCTACTTAGAATTTCCCAACATTTAATGGAGCCCGAAGGTTCATCACCGTTCACAAGAGCCATCCATAGGTCCCTATCCTCAGCCAGATCAATCCAGTCCATACCACCTCCATACCCCAACAAATGCCAAATGTAGTTCACACACATCCAACCCAATTCTGAGACATTTAGCTATAAAAGTTAACAAGCTAGATTTTCTTGGTGACTGAACTAACAGCTAAGAACATATACTTGTACATGGGAACAAATCACAAGAGAACAAATTATATGTGAATTTCTGCATCATGAAATAGCTGTGATGAAATGAGTATACTCACTACATCTAGTGGAAGACTCTCCAGATCTTGGAAGGGAGTCTCAACCTTGTTGCTGTCTGCATCCAACACCACAACATCTCCAAGATCTGCCTTCCTTACACGCTGGGAAGTAGAAGAATATTTAATTTTATAGCAAAGGATTAGTATAAGTCAAGGCATTTCTAAATCACTACAAACCATTCTTCTGAAGAAAATGTGAAAAACATTCCAATGATGATCAACAATGATTATATACTGTTAGCTTGTTTATGTTCCTTCATTTAAAAAGTTAGTGATTAAGACTGTTCAGTATTTTGACATATTCCTTCTGATTTTATGGAGAAACATATTTAGTATAATGTTACTTTAATGATCAAATATTTTAAAAAACATAACATCACATTCCTGTTATAAATAGATTTGTGAATTCTCTGAGTAAATGGTTCTAATGATGTATTACTGTCAGGATTACTGTATTTGCAGTCTCTATTGCAAAATTTTATTATAAAAATGTGCTATCGGAAAGTTCCCAGACTGTTATTGTTGTAACTGCCTTGGTGAATGAAGATGAGAGGAGAGGCCAAGGTCACACTTCCGCAATCCTATTGCACTGGTCTGCCATGTGACACCGCACTGTGAACATGCATACTTTTTATACAAGTGCTTTTTTGAATTTGTGTTTCATCACATCACATGTCACACTCAGTCAAATTTATCATAGATGAAGAAACAAAGGCAAAAATGTCATGTAATATATACAAATACATTCATCTTTTTCTAAAATTAAAACAGTTAATGAACCTTAAGGTGTTAAAAACATTAAGCCCTATGGACCAAAACTTCCACTTTAACATTTTCTCTGTCAAATGTCCACCGCCAGGAATTTTCAGTGTGGTTTAAAGCTCAGCAATTGTTCTCGTGCTTTATGCCACATTAATTACTCTTGTTCTTCTAATTGTGTCAGTATTTGGTTCTTCTTATGGTCAGGTACTAACAGAACAATTTAGGCAACATACAGTAAGACATCTCATTTAAATTTTATCAAAAATATTTGGTTCTCTGATGACTGAATACAAACAGCTCTATTTAAATTTTCGACGTTATCATGTTTCAGTAACTTACCTGATATATGACTTCAGGAACACCAATAAGATAAGGCATGGGTGCAAGCAAATAGTCCATGAGAGCCATTGGTAATACTGGAATGAAGATATGCTGCCAATTCATGGGATAGATGATAGAATTTGCAGACTGAACACAGGCACTCAGACGGTACAATTTCTTTGAAGTGAAAATTATACGTCGCTCATACAACATAGATGCAAAAATGACCATCATATTATGACCATCAACAGCATTGTAATACTCTGTAAGATTGCGCTGAAAGAGATAAAAATACAATAACATTTGGTTGAAGGAATATAATGTATTTTTATAAAACACTTCACATCCACATTAACATCAGAATACATGAGTATTGCAAAAATCAAATTATTAAGTGACATGTTTATTATTAATTTTTCATTATTAGGAGAAATTATAATTTTGCATTCCATCCCCACCTACCATATATTTAAATGATGAAACTAAATGAATCTGCCTCTGATATATATATATATATATATATACACACACACACAAATTAAATTTGCATCAGTGGATGACTTGATTGGCCTGGAATAAGCAATTTAAAAAACTACAACAAATTCAGAAAAACCACTTTAAGCATCTGTGAGTATTTTGGGCAATTAATTGGCTTAACTATACAATAAAAAAATATGAAATAAAATCACCTAACATTTCAATATAAGAAATTTAAGGTTATAAGAAGGTTTTTACTTAAAATTAACTTTACTTACATTTTCAGGGATGCTGGGCAACTGAAATTGATTTGGGCATGGACACACGAAGGTCTACAACAGTAACAAAAGCATAATTAAATAAACAACCATTTTAATGAAGATGGTGAATGCAAAATTTTAAGTTTTCACAGATCTTGAGGGTGCAGTTCAGTTTTATTCTGCAATAAAGTGTACAATTTCAGAGCCCATATGTACACATAAAAACCTTTCTCTGGAAACAATGAGGTGGAAAGCCTCTCTGAAATGTTGATAATCTCCTGTAAGGCCATATGGTGTTGCAATGCACAACACAACACTCCTTATTTGAATGCCATGTAAAACCTTGATAAATGTCTTCAGACAGTGAGGTACATGGTGACATCTGCCCTCAGATGTGGTTTATGACCATAATGGATAGCTTCACAGATGTGAAGGTACAAATCCATATTTTAAAATAGGCACATCCACTGGACAGAATCTGCCTCTGATGATAAGACAATAGTGAAGATATTGCAGACCAGAAGAATAATTGAAATCTGTGAGGCATAATGTACAAAATAATACTATATTTCAGCACCATGTTGCATTGATGCATCGCACTTGTTTCCATGTCTAATGCAACAAAAACTTTTAGTTCAAAATACCTTTACAATCAGAATGCCATCTTCTGGGCTGGAGCATCATGCAGATATTGTGTAAACTGACATTTTGGAGGAACGTATCTCCTCCATCTTCAGGGCATATAAAGAATCTGTGAGCGAGGAACCAGCACTGGCAGATTGCTGCTAATGCTGCTGCCTCATGCACAGATTTTTTATACCCTGAAGATGGAGGAGATACGTTCCTCCAAAATGTTGGTTTACACAATATCCACATGGCGCCACATCCCAGAAGATGGCATTCTTCATAGTCACGGCTGTGAAAACCTTAAATTTTACATCTTTACAATCACATTTATATTTCATAAAATGTGATTAAAATCTCATTCTATTTTACTGTTGCAACATTGTTTTGGCCCTATAAGGCCATCCTCAGGCAACTGAAATCACTGCACCGCATCAGCTCGTATGTCAAAGTATTACATGCTATTACTGCATGTCATCACTTGAGAATGAATGCCCACATTTCATGCTACTTTCATATTGCAGCGTCTATGCTATGTTTCTTTTGTGCATAGCTCTCCTTGGTCTGGTGTGTACTACTCACTACAGATGGCGGACTACTTCACTCTTCATAACGAACATTTGTTTGCCAATCTCTGAACATTCTACACTGCTGTCTAAAGGTGCGTCCAGATTACTAGTGCTCGTGTGACTTGCTATGCTTACGAGTAATGTGGACGTTATGACAAGTCACAAGACAGGCAAATTTTAAATTTCTAATTTAAAAACTATAGCCAATAAATTAAACTATGACTACAGCCTATACACACTACGAGTAAATATACAGATCCTCATGCGCTGAAGCCTGGCAAGCAACTGAAGTAGTGTGGACGAAGATTTATGAGCACAAGTAAATGCCAGACAAGTCTCCCAATGAGCACGAGCACGAGTAATGTGGATGCGCCTTTACAGTTCCTTCAGTCATTATATTTTGGTCATAAACTGCATTTCTGCAGCACACACGCTTTCTGCGTGAATAAACAAACAATAAAATGGATTTCAAACCTGGAGGATTATCAATCACAGGACATATCATCATTCACCCTGTAGATACAAGAAGAAACACTGGGTGACCAGTTACATGATGGTTTATGAGGCAAATGAGTCATGTGATGCTACCTCACATGTGCAAGCATTCCTCCCCTCCTACATTAGTTGCCTAAAATAAATGGAGATTACTATCTGAATTGCTGTAGTGTTAACGGTGCACAGATCACTATAACCTACACTAATATTCTCAGCTTGTTACAGCCTCCACTAGTCAGTGCCTGGTTAGTCTTCTAACAAGGGATTTTCTATATGCCCTTACAGCACAAGGACTGCATTCACTAATTGCAGACTTAAGACCAACTTGTAATGGCAACTGGTCCTCATTCCATAGCCTCAGCATGGACTGCACAGAAAACACCACTTCCAACAGTTCTACTGTTGCATACTTACGCAAGGCCATGGTCATGTGATGCTTACCAAGCATTGCCTAGCAATGGGTAGTTGTTTAGGTCAATGTAGCCTAGGAGTGGATGTGTCTGAAGAGCCATTCCCTAGCAACGGCCATCTCTTCTGGCTTCATGGTTCTGGCATTCAGCAGACATGTCAAGCCTAGGAGTGGATGTGTCTGAAGAGCCATTCCCTAGCAACGGCCTAGCAACATGTCACAATATTACATGGACATACAAAATAGTCTATGTGATTAAGCACTATACCATGAAGGTGTACTGTTTTCTTAGTGCAGGCTGCTGATGGAGACAAGCAGATATCTTCATCCTTTGGCTGTCTTCACCCCTGGGCAATAAGCCCCTAGTACCAAGTGGATGGGGGGGGTTACAATATTTTGCTTACAAGGTTGAGCAAGGATCACATATACAGAATTACTGAAATTTATGGAAGGATTCATGAGTTGCACATATCACATGTGATGAACCTAATTTATGTTTCACACACAGACTGAATAAAAATAATGTACGTACATCTCGACCATTATTGAAAGGAATCTGGAGTGTTCTGCCTGCGTCTGGAACACTGCTGTTATATACAGATTCCAGAAACTTCCACAGCTCATCTGACTTGGAACTGTAGTTTATTTCTGCTATATGATTAAGCAACCTGTAATTAAAGAACAGTAAAGTAAAAAAGGTAAGTAAATTTTGAGGTTTTCACGGCGATGACTATGAAGAAAGTCGTCTTCTGGGATCTGGCGCCCTGTATTCTTTGTTTTAGCTAATGTTTTGGAGGAACGTATCGCCTCCATCTTCAGGGCAGGTGAATTGTGTTGCGAATACAGAGAATAGCTGTAATGATTAGGAAGTGAAAAGCGCTTCTTTATATAGGGGGTATGTAGGGGTGGGGGGAGAGGAGACCAATGGGAACAGTGAAAAGCGATTATGGCCATATATGGTCTGTGGGGCGAAAGGGGGGGGGGAACGGCCAGCGAATCCAGGCAACTTGGAGCTCAACGGAGGCTATCCCTGTAACAGGCCACGAAGGCCCATACAGTTGTGAGACGTTGAGGGTCCCACATTATCTAGACAATCGGCTCAAAGATGGCAGTAAGGTTGTATAATACAAGGTTTTGTCGCAGGAACGGTTGACAAACATTTGGTTACACAAGAATTTAATTTTTTAAGGAAACCAAAGTTTCATACCATCTCTGGAGAATGTACACTTACCCCAATCCAGTTCACTTCTTCACACTATATATAAGTTCCATTTCAATATAAACCCACTCTTCTCAATAACATCTGTCTCCTAACTGATCTCTTCACATGAGGCATTCCACCTAAAATTTGTATGCACTTCTTGTTGCCAGCTTGCATGCTATATTCATCCATCCAATCATTCTTGGTACAGCCATCCTAATAATACTGAGTGAAGAGTGGAAATTGTAAAGTATCACAAAATGTAATTTTCTTCATTATTTTCTTATTTCATCTTTCTTCTCATAGTATTTTATTGTTTTTTAACCAGAGTGACAGACAAAATTTCACACCCATATAAATGGACAAAAACAAATTTCAGTACTCAAATGCATAACAAAGTTCTCAAAGTATGTCATGTTTTAGCCATCCGCATGTACGAAGGATCTACAACCATGATGGTCATTAACAGCTAAAGTATGAGACTAAATGCATTCCACTTACTTATAAAATGATTCATGCCATGGCAGGTAACTCAGCAGCACAAGGGCTGTTTCGGTTTTTGGATCATGACGGCAGAATCCAAAGGTCCATTTGGAATCAATGCTTGTCAACACAAAGGAGTAGTGCTGAACAATGGTGCTGAAACAAAAAAAAAGTGTATGTACGTGGCTTGCTTAGGCAATACAACATTGCAACTGAATGCTATGAACGGTTCCTTCAGTGTTTGATAAACATGTTGGCTGATCAGGGTTATGTATGTTAAGCAGATATACCATCTCATGTTTCCCTGGTATGCAAAATCGGCTTCTGACATTAAGGGAAGAACATACATTGAGTGTGCTGAGAATTATGGACTGAAGATAGATGACATACGAAGCTGGAGAAAATAGCATGAGTTCCCAAGTCAAGGAGAATGAGATGGTCAGGGCATGCAACATACATGGGAGGGAAGAAAACTGCATACAGGGTTTAGAGATCACTAGGAAGACCTAGATGTAGTTGGGAGGATAATATTAAAACAAATCTCAAAGAAATAAGATGGGGTGATATAGACTGGATTTATATGGCTCAGGACAGGGACCTGTGGTGGGATATTGTGAACATGGTAAGGAGCCTCTGTGTTCCATAAAATGTTGGAAAATTCTTGAGTAGCTGAGTGACTAGTGGCTCCTCAAGAAAGATTTCAGCTCCCAGGAGTTAGTTATTGAGCTGGTTAGGATGCATGTGTACTTAATTGCTAGGTTTATAACAAGCAGCATATGCTCCTACTGTTGTTCATTTAACCAAACTACTCACACTTCATACTCTATAGAATTCCCATTTATGAAATAAACAAAACAAAGTCATCCATCAACACTTCATGTGGCCACAGAAGCCCAAAGGAAGTGATGGCCTCCAATTACTATAACCATTTATGTACTTTTCTTCATATTTTGATTATTCACACTGTGATCATATGGGGAGGATATCTGATGACTGTACTAGGGGACAAACTTTTTGCTATGTACACTCAGGCTGGTGACTCTCCTACTGAGTCGGCTGCAGTGATAACAGTGTATGGTGAAGAGTACTGGTACTCTTGCAGTACCTATGCCTCAGAATTAAAGCTGTCTGAATAAGGCACAGGAACCATACCCCTCCTCACAACTGGGACACACTTAAACATCAGCCTTTATGCGATGGGGTACGCAAAAGAAAACGAACTAATTTTTTTGTGGGCAGAGCTTTCGTTGTACCGTGTTTTACCGCTATGAGTGCATAGAGCTAACATTCCTGAGTCGAGAAGCCTACTACCATTGCTTCAGAAGGTAAGGACTAGTTTCGGCAGAGTTTATAGTGACAACTGTTTTGTGTGATCGTCGTTTTTGCAATGGCTGATTTTCGTGAACAGCGTGCGGCGGTGAAATTCTGCTTTTTGCTCGGGAAAAGTGGAACAGAAACTCTTGAAATGTTAAAAACGGAGTACAAGGATGATGCTATGGGGAAAACTCAAGTGTTTGTGTGGTTTACCCATTTCAAAAATTGTGAAATGTCAATTGATGACAAACCTCGTTCTGGTCATCCTTCCACGGCCCGAACACGTGAAAATGTTGGAAAAATTCGTGAAATCATCAAGGAAGATCGTCAACGGACCA